GCTGGTCTCAAACTATATGGGCTCGAGCAATCCTCCTGCCTCGGCCTCCCAAAGCATTGGGATTACAGATGTGAGTCACTGTGCCCAGTCATGGATACATTTTATGTGGGCTACATGGTATTTGAAACAATTGGGAGAGTTTTATTAAAAACCAGGACTTCTGGCTTTATTTATTTTTGATCTGGGGATTCAGCCAAACTTCACTCATACTCTCACAGGGCAACAGTGGGTGAGGTCAGTAGCAGTCCCCCTGGACATGCAGACTCCAAGGTACTGCACTCTCTGTCCAGCTTTTGTTTCAAGGGGTGGAGTTTGCTGCTATATGGGAATTGCCTCATCTTCCAATTTTTCAAGACACACTGGGCATCAAGATTTTTATGTGAACCCACCTGAGTTTGAAACCTCATGCTGGCCACACAGAAAATGCCTGTGGGTTGACTGTGGCCCATGTGCCACCAGCTTGAGATCCCGCATTAGAAGCTCTAAAAGGCAAAGACCTGGAGTTCCCCTACTGAGGCTGGAAGGAGGGGGTCAGGTGCATGGGGTGACCTTGGACCTCTTGCCACCCCAGCTTTCACCTTCTTCGATCCTAATGACCCGGCGTGCCAGGAGATCCTGTTTGACCCTCAGACCACCATCCCCGAGCTGTTTGCCATTGTGCGCCAGTGGGTGCCCCAAGTCCAGCACAAGATAGATGTCATCGGCAATGAGGTAAGAACACTGGGGAAATCAGGGAGAGAGGGGATGCGGTTCCCCACATGTGTGGGTGACCCTCCCTGCTCACCTGGTACTCACAGATTCTGCGCCGAGGCTGCCATGTGAACGATCGTGACGGGCTGACCGACATGACACTGCTCCACTATGCGTGCAAGGCTGGGGCCCACGGAGTCGGTGAGGGACCCCACCCCCAAGTCATGAGCCCCAAAGCCTAGGCCTCCAGACCCAACACGCTGAAAACCACCCAGAACTCAGGCCCCATCTGGAACCCGAAGCTTCAGATCCCAAAGTATAGTCCCTTAGGCTCAGGGCCCTCCCCGTACACTGGGCCCATGCTCTGGAATGGGGGTTCCAAGCTGATCCCGCCTATCACGCAGGGGACCCCGCGGCAGCCGTGCGCCTCTCGCAGCAGCTGCTGGCGCTGGGGGCAGATGTGACCCTGCGCAGCCGCTGGACCAACATGAATGCGCTTCACTACGCGGCCTATTTTGATGTGCCAGACCTCGTGCGTGTGCTGCTGAAGGGCGCGCGGCCGCGAGGTGAGGAGGAGAGCCCTGGCTGGGAGGGGGCAAGGACCTGGGTGAGGGATGCGGAGACCCAGGTGAGGGCCAGGCTGCGAGGGAAAGGAGGATGGCGATCTGAGGAGACAGCGGGAGGTTGGAGGCGTGGGAGAGGGGGCTCAGTGGACTACCACTCTAGGGAGGGGCGGGGCCGCGAAGGGAGAGTGGGGCTCCGAGGTGGGGGCGGGGCTCTGCGTCGGAGGCTCTGGGACCTGCAAGTTAAGAGATGAGCCCCGAGGTAGGAGGAGGGCTGGGGTCCCACAGGTGCTTACCCGGAACCCCTCCTCTTGCCCACTTCCAGTGGTGAACTCCACGTGCAGTGACTTCAACCACGGCTCAGCCCTGCACATCGCTGCTTCCAGCCTGTGCCTGGGCGCCGCCAAATGTTTGCTGGAGCACGGCGCCAACCCTGCACTGAGGGTACTGCCACCCTTGCCCAGAACCCGTTACCCTCCTGCTCCCGTCCTCCCCCACTTCCCTCCAGCAGGTCTCTGCGTTTCCCGTGACTTCCCAGATACTACAAATGTCTGTACATTCAGCAAATGCAATAACAGCTGAAATTTGCCTAGTGTTCATTACATGTCAGGTGAAGTCTACTATAAGCCTTTACAATGGGGAAACTGAGGCAGAGATTAAGGGATCTGCGCAGGGTCATCCAGCCTACCCAGTGGCAGTGCATAACAGCATTTCAAGGACATGAGGAAAGTAAGGCTAGGCCCTCTGTGAATGAGAGGGTTGGTCCCCTCCTAAGCCCTCAATATGATCTTTGATTTCCAACCCATGCATTACCAGGCTCCATCCACAATGCTAATTACTCTGCAGCTGTCCAGGCACCAGTATCTTGGGGGAACATGGCCTGTGCCCCTGAGACCCTGCCTTTTCCCATTCCCCACTGGCCCAGAGTGTGACTCCTGACTGTATACCACAGGAGCCCACTCTCACTCTCTCTCTCTCTTTTTTTTTTTTTTTTTTGAGATGGAGCCTGGCTCTGTCATCCAGGCGGGAGTGCAGTGGTGCAATCTCAGCTCACTGCAACCTCTGCCTACCAGGTTCAAACGATTCTCCTGCCTCAGCCTCCTGAGTAGGTGGAATTATAGGCACGCGCCACCACACCCGGCTAATTTTTGTATTTTTGGTAGAGATGGAATTTCACCATGTTGGTCAGGCTGGTTTCGAACTCCTGACCTCAGGTGATCTGCCTACCTCGGCCTCACAGAGTGCTAGGATTACAGGCATGAGCCACTGAACCCGGCCCACAGGAACCCATTCTCAATGTTCATCTCCCACATGTCCTCATTACAGGCTTGGGGTCTCCAGAGATTGCTTCCCTGGGGGCGTAACCTGCAGCACTGAAGTGTGGCCCTCATGCCTACTGCCTACACCCCCAGGCCCACCCTCAATTACTTGACACACCCCCAGCCCTGGGTGTCAGGGGTGGGTTTCCCTGGGGATGTGGTCTGCACCTTTCTGCCCTGCCCCTTCTTTTTTTTTTTTTTTTTTTTTTTTGAGATGGAGTCTCGCTCTATCACCCAGGCTGGAGTGCAGTAGCATGATCTCAGCTCACTGCAACCTCTGCTTCCCAGGTTCAAGGGATTCTCCTGCCTCAGCCTCCTGAGTAGCTGGGATTACAGGCACACGCCACCACACCTGGCTAATTTTTGTATTTTTGGTAGAGACAAGGTTTCCCAATGTTGACCAGGCTGGTCTTGAACTCCTGACCTCAAGCGATCTGCCTGCCTCAGACTTACAACGTACTGGGATTACGGGCGTGAGCCACCTTACTCGGCCTTGCCCTGCCCCTTCTTATTCCCAGGTTGGCCCAGGGTATGACCTAGTCCTACCCCTGCATCACCCAGACAGGTGGTGTCTAGGGTCAGGGCCTCCATGGGGGCGTGGCCTGTGCCACTGAGTCCCCGCCCCCTCTTCCCATTGGCCCCCAGAATCGAAAAGGACAGGTGCCGGCGGAGGTGGTCCCAGATCCTATGGACATGTCCCTGGACAAGGCAGAGGCAGCGCTGGTGGCCAAGGAGCTGCGGACGCTTCTGGAAGAGGCGGTGCCACTATCTTGCGCCCTCCCCAAGGTCACGCTACCCAACTATGACAACGTCCCAGGCAATCTCATGCTTAGCGCACTGGGCTTGCGCCTGGGAGACCGCGTGCTGCTGGATGGCCAGAAGGTCAGGCGCTGGGGTGTGTGTTGGCGTGGTGGGTGGGGGTGGGACTCAGCCCCTTAATCCCTTGGAGCTGTGTCCTTGGGCAGAGTGCAGTCCGTCCCCTTTGTCTGCTTGCCGTCCTAACTATCCATCCAGTATTTGATTTCGTCTCAGTTGTTCCGTGGGTGTCTCCTTTGAGCCTCACCCTGTGCTGAGCTCTCCATCCAGGGGGGGAAACAACTCATCATCTGACAGTAACGGTCATGGCTGCCATGGGGAGGGGTGAGCAGAGTGATCTCTTGCAGCTCTGTGCACCTGTGGCTCCCCCTGGGTCTTGTGGTCCTCGATCAGGCCCCTCCACTCTCAGAGGCAATTCTGGCTAGGAAAGTCCAGGCCAGAGTGATTGGAGTGTGATGGGGAATGCATCCAAATTGCAGATGTGGAGGAGCAAGCCAGGGAAAAAAAGGGAGAAAGGAGCCTCAGTTAGGGGGAGCGGGTATCACAGCCCAGAGTGCAGAGAGAATCTTCATTTATCCAGGGACTCCAACTTCATTTCCTGGTGTCCCTCAGGCTCCATACGGGACCCAGTCTGTCCTTAAGGAGGGAGGGCTGTTTCTGCCCCTGCCCTGCTCTCATGGAGCTCCACTTGTAATGAAGCGGAGACAGTCAAGAAAGTAAACCTATGGTTGAGATAATTTATGGGTTGGGCATGGTGGTTTACACCTATAATCTCGGCATTTTGGGAGGCCGAGGTGGGAGGATCACTTGAGGCCAGGAGTTGTTAGAGACCAGCCTGGGCAACATAGCGAGATCCCGCCTCTACTGAAAAAAATTAAAAAAAAAAAAAAAGTAAATTTCTGGTAGCAACAAGGGCTGTGAACACCATTACATGTTTGGATTTAGTAAATTGTCCCTGGCTGAATGCTGGGGTGGTTTTAGCTGGGGTGTTCCGAGAAGGCTTCTCTAAGGAGGTGATGTCCAAACTAAGACAGGAAAGAGCTTCCTCTTCAAAGGTAAGGAAGCAGAGGATACAGTAGGTATGGAGACACAGAGGCAGGAAGGGGCGGTGTGATGAGGGAGTTATGGGAAGCGGGGTGAGGTGGAGAGGTCAGCAAGGCTGGGTCACAGCAGACCTGTAGGCTACTGGAAGGAGTTTGAATTTTGTTTTTGTTTTTTTGAGATGGGTCTTGCTCTGTCACCCAGGCCAGAGTGCAGTGGCGTGATCTTGGCTCACAGCAACCTCTGCCTCCCAGATTCAAGCTGTTCTCATGTCTTAGCCTCCCGAGTAGCTGGGATTACAAGTGTGTGCCAAAAAGCCTGGCTAATTTTTTATTTTTATTTTTAGTAGCAATGGGTTTTGCCATGTTGGCCAGGCTGGTCTCAAACTCCTGCCCTCAAGTGATCCACCTGCCTTGGCTCCCAAAGTGCTGGGATTACAGGCATAAGCCACTGCACCCGGCCCCATCCAGAAAGCATTCTGATGTGCATGATCTAATCATATCCATTGCACAATTCTGAAAGAAGTTTGGGTTGACTCTTGCCATTTTGTAAGCCAGACCATAAGAGCCTCCAACAGGTGAAAACCTTTATCTGAAGACACGGAATACCAATCACTGCCCCTAAGAGAAGCAGCATAGCACAGCGTCATGGGCTCAGGCTCAGGGACTTGCCCAGGTAAATCTCAGCTTTGCAACTTCCCAGCTGTGGGACCTGGAGCCAGTGATTCCGCCTCTCTGGGCATCAATGTCTTCATCTGCAAATGGAGATAATAATAGTATCCACGTTAGGGGGCTGGTTGAGGTTTAAATTAATTAAAATGCATAAGGCCATGAGAACAGAGTCCAGTGCATACTAAGTGCTCTTTGTGTGTGCCAGGTACTGTTCTAGTCCCTCCACCAATCCTCTAAGATCAGCACTAATTAATCAGCCCATTATATGGACAAGGAACTGAGACATGGAGAGGTGAATGAGCCTCCCATAATGATGATAACCACTCACTAAAGGCTCACTGCAGTTAAGCAACTTTACATGTATTAAAAATGTTTCCGCCGAATGCGGTGGCTCATGGCCATAGTCCCAGCACTTTAGGAGGCTGAGGCAGAAGGATCGCTTGAGCTCAGGAGTTCGAGACCAGCCTGGGCAACATAGTGAGACCTCATCTCTACTAAAAATGAAAAAATTAACCAGGCATGGTGGCGCACACCTGTAGTCCTAGCTACTCAGGAGGCTGAAGTGAGAGGATCACTTGTGCCCAGGAGTTTGAGGCTGCACTGTGCTGAGATCATGCCACTGCACCCCCAGTCTAGGTGACAAAGCGAGACCCTGTCTCAAAAAAAAAAAAAAAAATGTTTCCATCAGACAATCACGCCATGAGGTATCTTACTATCTCTATTTTACAGATGAAACTGAGGTTCAAGAAGTCCCCTGACCAAAGTTACAGCATGATAATAGCTAACAGACTGGGCAGAGTGGCTTCACACCTGTAATCCCAGCACTTTGGGAGGCCAAGATGGGGAGGATTGCTTGAGGCCAGGAGCTTAATACCAACCTGGGGGGCAACATGGGGATACTCCATTTCTATTTTTTAAAAAAGTTTTGTTGTTGTTGTTTTAATTAGCCAGGCTTTGGTGGCGTGCACCTGTAGTCCCAGCTACTCGGGAGACTGAGGAGGGAAGATTGCTTGAACCCAGGAGTTCAAGGTTACACTGAGCTATGATTGCACCACTGCACTCCAGCCTGGGCCACAGAGTGAGACCCTGTCTCTAAAATAGAAAAATACCATTTTTCAATAACGAATACTTGCTGATCCTTTACTCAATGCCAAGCCTGTTCTGAGGGTTTTAATTTCTCTATGACAGCCCTGTCCAACAGAGCTTTCTGTACTGGTGGAAATATTTTGTGTCTGTGCTGTTCAGTAAAGTAGCTACAAGCCACATGTGACAATTGAGCACTTGAAATATGACTAGTGTGACTGGGGAAATGCACTTTTAGTTTAAATTTATTGATTTTTATTTTTATTTATGTTTTTTCTTGAGACAGAGTCTTGCTCTGTTGCCCAGGCCAGAGTGCAATGGTGCTATCTGGTCTCACTGCAACACTCTGGGGTTCAAGCAATTCTCCTGCCTCAGCCTCCCGAGTAGCTGGGATTACAGGCGTGCGCCATCATGCCCAGCTAATTTTTGTGTTTTTAATAGAGATGGGGTTTCACCATGTTGGCCAGGCTGGTCTTTAACTCCTGACCTCAGGTGATCCTCGCACCTTGGCCTCCCAAAGTGCTGGGATTACAGGTGTGAGCCATCGTGCCCGGAATAAATTAATTTATTTTTAAATTAAAAAATTATCTGAGTCTTGTTCCTAAGGTATGCATTTATTTATTTTTGAGACAGGGTCTTGCTCTGTTGCCCAAGCTGAAGTGCAGTGGCATAATCATAGCTCACCGCACCCTTGAACTCCTGGGCGCAAGTGATCCTCCCACCTCAGCCTCCCAAGTAACTGGGACTACAGGCTTGAGCTACTGCACCTGGCTACCTTTTTTCTTTCTTTTATAGAGAATAGGGTCTTGCTGCCTTTGTATTTTGGAACAGATTAAGATGAGAGGGTCCCGCCATTTTCACCCAGGCTGGTCTGAAACTCCTGGCCTCAAATAATCCTCCAGCCTTGGCCTCCCAAAGTGTTGGGATTACAGGCATGAGCCACCGCAACCGGCCTTAGTTTAAGTTTAAATTGTTGGCCAGGCACAGTGGCTCATGCCTGTAATCCCAGCACTTTGGGAGACTGAGGCGGGTGGATCACCTGAGGTCAGGAGTTCCAGATCAGCCTGACCAATATGGTGAAACCCCGTCTCTACTAAAAATACAAAAATTAGCCAGGCGTGGTGGCATGCACCTGTAGTCCCAGCTACTTGGGAGGCTGAGACGGGAGAATTGATTGAACCCAGGAAGCGGAGTTTGCAGTGAGCCAAGATCGTGCCACTGCACTCCAGCCTGGCAACAGAGCGAGACTCCGTCTGAAATAATAATAATAATAAATAAATAAATAAATAAATTTAAATTGTCCTATGTGGCTAGTCACTATTTACTATATGAGACAGGGCAACTCTTTAACAATCCTATAAGGTGAGTATAACTTGTTCCCATTTCATAGCAAAGGAAGTTGAGGCACAGAGAGGTTAACTCATGTAGCCAGCAAACGGTGATGTGTGACCTGGGGTTTGGGCCCAGGGTGGCCTTATGCACCCCACCTTGCTGCCTGTGTGCGAGCACTCCACGTTGGCCTCCCAGCATTCCTTCCTCAGCCATCGCCTCCCTTCTCTCCCCAGACGGGCACACTGCGGTTCTGTGGGACCACGGAGTTTGCCAGCGGCCAGTGGGTGGGCGTGGAGCTGGACGAGCCTGAGGGCAAGAATGATGGCAGCGTTGGGGGCGTTCGGTACTTCATCTGCCCCCCCAAGCAGGGTTAGTCCCACCTGGGGCCCAAGAGGGGTGCGGCCGGGGGTCCACTCAGCAGTTCTGATGCTGCTGACTGGGAAATAGGGGATGGGGGACGGGGGCTGAGGGCAGAGGCTTAGACAACACCAGCCTCGAACTCTGTACTCGTAGGTCTCTTTGCCTCCGTGTCCAAGATCTCCAAGGCAGTGGATGCACCCCCCTCCTCTGTCACCTCTACGCCCCGGACCCCCCGGATGGACTTCTCCCGTGTCACCGGCAAAGGCCGCAGGGAACACAAAGGTCAGAGAGGAGATCCCTGCGGTGGGAAGAGCCAGTTTGGGGATGTTGTGTGGGTAGCTCAGCTTCTGTGACTCAGTTTCTCATCAGGCCCAAACTCCAGTTTTGGAAGACAAGCTCTGAGTTCCTGACTTCTGACTCAGTTTCCCCTTTGGCTCAGTACTGGTCCCCCCTAGTTCTTAGAAGGACCTGTGGGTTCCCTGCCCTCTGTGACTTAGTTTCCTCTCAGGCCCAAAGGTCTCCTTCAGTTTTAGAGAAGAATCTGTGGAGATCCTGGCTTTGGTCATTTACTTTTTTTTTTTTTTGAGATAAGAGTCTTGCCCTGTTGCCCAGGCTGGAGTGTGGTGGCACAATCTTGGCTCACTGCAACCTCTGCCTCCTGGGTTTAAGCGATTCTCGTGCCTCAGCCTCCCAAGTAGTTGGGATTACAGGCGCCCACCACATCCGGCTAATGTTTGTATTTTTTTTGTAGAGACAGGGTTTTGCCATGTTGGTCAAGCTGGTCTCAAACTCCTGACCTCAAGTGATCCGCCTGCCTCGGCCTCTCAAAGTGCTGGGATTACAGGCCTGCACCACTGCACCCAGCCTGATTTACTCTCAGACCCAAATTCTCCCTTCTTTTTTTTTTTTTGAGATGGGGTCTCGCTCTGTCGCACAGGCTGGAATGTGATGGCACAATCTCAGCTCACTGCAAGCTCCGCCTCCTGGGTTTATGCCATTCTCCTGCTTCAGCCTCCTGAGTAGCTGGGACTACAGGCGCCTGCCACCGCATCCGGCTAGTTTTTTGTATTTTTTAGTAGAGATGGAGTTTCACCGTATTAGCCAGGATGGTCTCAATCTCCTGACCTCGTGATCCGCCCGTCTCGGCCTCCCAAGGTGCTGGGATTACAGGCTTGAGCCACCGCGCCCGGCCAATTTGTTGTATTTTTAGTAGAGATGGGGTTTCACCATGATCTCGATCTCCTGACCTCGTGATCCACCTGCCTCGGCCTCGCAAAGTGCTGGGATTACAGGCATGAGTCACTGCGCCTGGCCTCTCCCTTCATTTTAAAAGGATAGTTTCTGGGTTCCTGACTTCTGACTCAGCTTTTCCTAATCCAACATATCCTCAGCTTTGAGAAAGGATTTTGGGGTTCTTCAGGTTCTCTGACTTGGTTTCCTTTCAGGCCTAAAGCCCCTTCCTAATTCTCTGGCATCTGGGATTCAGTTTCACTTCAAACTAAGAACAGGGTTTCTACCTTGGGGTTTTCCAGGTGGCAGGGGTTCCCAAAGCTGGCATCACCCCCCTTCCCACCTCCTGCACCTTCTTCCCTTAGGCAAGAAGAAGACCCCATCATCCCCATCTCTGGGCAGCTTGCAGCAGCGTGATGGGGCCAAGGCTGAGGTTGGAGACCAGGTCCTTGTCGCCGGCCAGAAGCAGGGGATCGTGCGCTTCTATGGGAAGACAGACTTTGCCCCAGGTGAGGATGGGGACTCTGGGCCGGGGGCCAGGCAGGGCCTTGAGAAATCCTGACACCCTCGTGCTGCAGGTTACTGGTATGGCATTGAGCTGGACCAGCCCACAGGCAAGCATGACGGCTCTGTCTTTGGTGTCCGGTACTTCACTTGCCCCCCGAGGCATGGGGTCTTCGCACCAGCATCCCGTATTCAGAGGTGAGCCCAAACTTCTAGCCCCAACCCAGGGTACCACCTGGAGCCCTGATCCCCTGTCAGATGGCCTCCTCCTCCCAGACCAGCAGGACAGTGTGGACACCCCCCAGCCCCCAGTCAGACTCTGGCCTCTTGTGGCTCTGACCTCTCCCCTATCCCTGTGTCTCCTCAGGATTGGCGGATCCACTGATCCCCCTGGGGACAGTGTTGGAGCCAAAAAAGTGCATCAAGTGACAAGTGAGTTGGGAGATGATATGTGGGGAGTGTAAGTTTGGGGATGGGAGGAAGGGTCCTGGGTTCTCAGGTATATACTGGTGACAGTCTCTGGTATTTAATGCGGGATACAGGGTCCAGGAAAATGATGAGACAAGGTCCCCAAAAAGATAGGTGCTGAAGGGTATGAGGAAGTTAGCAACAAGGCTCTTTGGGGACATGAGGTTGAGCAGATACTGGGGAAAGGGATAGTCACTGGGGGACATGGTGGGAATTATGGACAAGGGGCCCAGGTGGGTATTGGGAATGTGGGATCCAGGTAGGGGCTGGAGACATGGGGAGGTATTAATGAGAAGGAGTCTGAATGAGTATTGAGGACACAGGTGGTCTGTCATCCCCTCACTTAACATCCTGACCTCCTCTTCAGTGACGCAGCCCAAACGCACCTTCACTACAGTCCGGACCCCAAAGGACATTGCATCAGAGAACTCCATTTCCAGGTGTGTGGCCAACCCCTGTCCCCTCTCCTATGCGACATTCAGGGAGAGGGATCCACAAGGCAGTTGGACCCAGAGATCTGGAGCTCTGGTCAGGGCTGGAAAGAGAGGTTAGGAAAACTTGTAATTTGTTAGCATATCCAGAAACAGTCTTTAGGGTATAGGGCCCCGCACTGAATTCTAGTGATTTCCACTTCCGGGGGGGGGGGCGGTAAAGGAAGCAGAACACCCTTCACTCCACATGAGCCTCAGAATAACAGCTACAGACCAGGCGGGGTGGCTCACGCCTGTAATCCCGGCACTTTGGGAGGCTGAGGCAGCTGGATCACCTGAGGTCAGGAGTTCAAGACCAGCCTGGTCAACATGGTAAAACCCCGTCTGTACCAAAAACACAAAAATTAGCCAGACATGATGGCATACACCTGTAGTCCCAGCTACTTGGGAGGCTGAGGCAGGAGAATTGCTTGAACCTGGGAGGCAGAGGTTGCAGTGAGCCGAGATCATGCCACAGCACTCCAGCCTGGGTGACAGGGAGACTCCGTCTCAGAAAACCAACCAACCAACCAACCAACCAACCAACCAACCAACCAACCACAGCCAGAGAGGTAGAGGCAAAATCCAGAAAGGCCTGATAGCAAACACTGGGGGAAAGGCTGGCGGTGATGGGTGCAGATGTCCCCGCTGCCTGCCTAAGGGTGTGACCCTGTCATTCTCCTTTCCAGGTTGCTGTTCTGCTGCTGGTTCCCCTGGATGCTGAGGGCAGAGATGCAGTCTTAGAGGCCCTGGACACCTGACAAAGAGACAGAGTCCCCACTAGCATCTCCTGACACCCGAAGAGCCCTGAGTCACCCTGAGATAGAGATTCCCAGTAACACATCCAGAGTAGAGACCCCTGTTAGCCAGCCCTCGATCATTGAGGCCCCATTATTAACAGATAGCCCCATAATAACCCCCAAATACAGACCCCATTTCACCCAGAAAGAGATTCCCTGAGTAGCACCTTCAGGCTAGTCCCTATCCCCAACCCCGCAGAGCAGATTCCCAGATTAACAAATTTCCACATCACCCCTAATGATGGTGACCCTCTTCACATAACGCATTACAACAGAACATTCTTGAATCACCCAACCCTGGATCAGAAACTTCCCCATTAACAAACATTCCCCACTAAGTCCTCTTGAAATAAACATAGGTCACACCCCCAAAGCAAAAGAGTAACAGACGTTCATGTCATTGTTCCCCATTTAACATCAGTCCCCTCAAGATGTCGTGACCCCATGGTCACCCTGAAGCCCTTACACTCCAACCCCTCAATCAGAGACTTCCTTCATTAACAAAGACCCTTGTTCTTACCCCTCAAGAGAAACCCACCATAACCAGCCCACTGTCACCCCTAATTTACAGACACCAAAACAGTCCTGGAAGTGCTAATTACAGGACCCCCAAGTCTTCCTACCCTCTGCACCCTCAAGAAACCCCCAGTGCCTTGTACGAAGCCCACCCCACATGGCCCACAGCTCCTGTGCTGGCCAGGCTCCCAGAAAATTATCTATTTTTTAAGTAACGACTTCCCCCTTTGGGGAACCCCAAAATTTGGAGGCCCCATTCTAGGACTCTGGGGATCCCAAACCCTAGAGTACACACATCCCAAACTCCCCTGTGCCCTCAAGTCCTACAGCCCCTAGAAGACCCCAATGCCCTAACTCCTAGGACCCCTGAATCATGGAATCCCCAAATCCCCAGGGAATCCCAAATTTGAAAATCCAATCCCAAGCCACCAGGAAACCCAATCATGAGGTCGCTGTGCCTGGTATGGAGGAGACTGCAGTCAGGATATGCATTCCAGGCTCCCAGGCACCTCAAGCCCTATTGACAGGCACCAGGAAACCCTACACAGGAATTCCCATCCCTGGAAACTGGGACTCAATGCCCTGAGTCCACGGATTTCAAGACACCAAATTCCAAGATCCCCAGCCCTAAGGGAACCCCAAATCCTAAAGCCTCCATCTCTAGTAAATGGAAGGCCCCAAGGCCCTGAGGGGATCCCAAATCCTGGAACCCCGATTTCAACCTACGTTCTAGTCACTGGCCTCAAAGGACCCCACAGCACCTGGGCCCGACCAACAGCCCGAGGGAGAACCTGAAGGCCCAGGGAGTCCAGGGCAGACCTGGGGCCCCAACCACCAAGGACAGCTCACGACTGCCCCTTCACTGCATGTCCCCAAACTCAGCATGACTCCTGTCCTCTTCAATAAAGACGTTTCTATGGCCTCTCTGTGTCGGGTCATTGTTTGGGGGTTTCCCTTGTTGGGAGAAGACAGGAAAGGAAGTGCTTCCTTCAGTCTCGCCTCCCTGCGGCGTGAGAACCGGCTGGCGCTGGCCGCGGGAAGTCCTTCTAACAGCCTCTCGTATCTTCCCGAGGCTGTCATGGCTGCAGCCCCCGTCCCGCCCATCCGGGTCCGCTCTGCCGATGGCCCGGTTCGGTTCTTAAGTTCTGATTGGCCAGTGCCAGACGACGATGCCCCGCCCACGCCCTCCTGCCAATGGCTCAGAGACAAGGAGGCGCGGCCTATCCCTGGGAGAGGATGAAGTGTGAGGGCGAATACTGAGTAAGAGCGCCGATTGGGTGGAAGGCGGGCCCTTGAGGCCTCTGGGAGCTCCCATTGGCCTGCGAGCTCAGCGATTGTAATGTGGGGCGGAAATGGCTGGGAGGGGGATGGGGATGTTGAATTTGGAAATTGGAGGGGACGCTGGTGGACGGTCAGTTTTGGGGAGTGCTGAGGGTGGAGATGGGTGTCAAGAGGGCTGAAAGTGGGGATCCGGGGGAGCCCAGAGTAGGAGTCCGAGGAGGCTCAGAGCTTGGAGTCCTAAAAGGCTCGGAGTCGTGGTGTGATGGATTCAGGGAGGGAAGAAGGTTTGGGAGTCAGCCTCAGAGCTAAAGATCCCAGGGTGCTGGAGTGAAGGGGCACTTAGGAAGGGAAATCCGAGGGGCGTCCAAATGGGAGGATCCGAGGAGGCTGAGGGTGGACATGTCTGAGGAGGCTCAGATTGGGGTTACAGGGGTGCACAGAATGGGATTCGGTGGGGGGCGGGGGTCGCTGAGTGTTGATAGCCGGGCTCACAGTTGCAGGTCTGAAGCGAGGTCTTAAGGTGTTTAAAGGGGTTCTGGGGTGCAACCCTGGGGGCTATATGTAGAGCTTTTGAGAAAGGCTCCCTGTGTGTGGGGCCAGACGATGTTCTCTGTGGGAGGATTGAGAGGGCATATGTGTAGTTTGATGGGCCCTTAGTAAACAGAGTAATGGGGGATTATTCTTGGGGTTCATTGTTTCCGGGCATGGAGCCTAGGGGCTCTCTGTGTGGCTTGTAAGATGCTGAAGACTCAGCTTTTAGAGACCAAGTGAGTTTCAGAAGAGGGCTGAGGTGAGGCCTGGCCTGTGATGGCGTGGAAGGCTGCGTTGTGGTGTTAGGGTGGGAGGCCTAGTGACTTCAGCGTGTCCTCCCCTCCCTACAGGATTAGGTGCAAGGAGTTGGTGGTGATGGAGGAGCAGGACGCCAGAGTCCCAGCCCTGGAACCATTCAGAGTGGAGCAGGTTGTCAGAACTCGGGGTGCAGAGGGTGAAGGAGGCAGGCTGACTCCTGAGTTCTTGGGTTGGGACTGCCCTCTTCCTCCAAATTCATTCTTACTGTCAGAGTCCATTCTGGAATGGCACTGGTCCCTTGACTTCAGACCCTGACCTGTCTGAGGACATACTGAGCCTGTCTCCAGGCATAGGGGTTGCTCTGTGATGACATGTCCTCTGTGTGGGTTGAAGGGCCACATCTTCAAGGAGGTCTGTCTATCCTAGGCACCACCTGTAATCTACTATGTCCCAGACTTCATCTCCAAAGAAGAGGAGGAGTATTTGCTTCGACAGGTGACCTCAGTGCCCTTCTGGTCTGTTTTCCCACTCTTCCCATATTCCTCCCCAATGCCCATCCTCTGTATGAGAGCCCACAAGGCTGCAGTGAAGACCCTGACAAAAGGAACAAGGAAGTTACAAAGCTCATACTGCCTCTACTGAGATAGCCCAATCCTGCTAGCTTAGAGAATAGGGGGTTATAAACATAGGCTGAGATAGCCCAGTTCAGATCATTGAGATTGGGGAGTAAAGAATTTAGTGTTCAGATTTCTGTGCGGAGATAGCCCAGTAAACTCTTTCCTGTGCTAAAATAGCTCAGCATAGACCCAGAGCCTTAGGAATAAGGTTACCAAACACAGACCATCTATGCTGAGATGGCCCAGTCTGCATTCTGTTCTTAAGGTTTGGGGAAAGAAGAATTTACAAAGCTCAGAGTCCCTGCCCTTTGCAGCCCCAGAGCCTAAGTTACAAAGCACAGATCTTGCCTGTGTTGGAGTAACCCACTGATCTTGAGTCCAGGAAAAAATTAGCTACAGAACACAGACTTTTTTGCTGAGATAGCCCATTCCAGACCTTTGCATTCTTGGCATTGAAAAATCTACATATTATAGAATTCCTGGGCTGAAATAGCCCAGTACAGCTCCATAACCATGAAGGGAATGAGTAGATTATCAACTAGAGCATAGACTTGTTGGACTGAGATAGCCCATTCTAGACCATTAGGAGCTTGGCAGTGGAAGATTTTCAAAGTACTTTCTTTGCTGTGCTGAGATAGCCCAACTTTGCATATTCCCTTCCCCAGGCAATAGGAACAAGGAAGCTGCAGAACTCAAACTGTCCTCAGAGAGCCCAGGAATCAGGAATTTTTGTTTGTTTGTTTTTTGAGACAATCTTGCTCTGTCACCCAGGCTGGACTGCAGTAGTGTGATCTCAGTTCACTGTAGCCTCCGCCTCCTGGGTTCAGCCAATTCTTGTGTCTCAGTCTCCTGAGTAGCTTGGATTGCAGGCGTGTGCCACCACACTGCCTCTCAGGTTCAAGCAATTCTCCTGCCTCAGCCTCCCAAGTAGCTGGGATTACAGGTGCGTGCCACCATGCCCAGCTAAATTTTGTATTTTTAGTAGAGACGGGGTTTCTCCATGTTGGCAAGGCTGGTCTCAAACTCCTGACCTCAAGTGATCTGCCCGTCTTGGCCTCCCAAAGTGCTGGGATTACAGGCATGAGCCACCGGGTGTGGCACGGAATCAGGAAATTAGAATGCAGACTATTGGCTGGGCTGAAAAAGCCCTGTCCAGCCCCAGCACTCTGAGTAGATTGTGAGACCCACAACTCTCAGACCATGGTTGTGCAGCCCTGATTGCTAAATCCTGGTAGACATGGATGGGCTTTGAGGCCAAAGGCATTCCCAGGAAAGAAGGCAAATCACAAAATCCTAGGAACCCACCGCCCCAGGGAATGGTCCCACAGACACTGAGATGACCCATTTCCACCCCGGAGGTAAAGGCCCCTATGTTGACCTAGGTGGGAGAATGATAGAGGGGTGATCCTGAGAAAGGAGTGACCCCCTTCCCACCTCCTAGGTTTTTAATGCCCCAAAGCCAAAGTGGACCCAGCTTTCTGGGAGAAAGTTACAGAACTGGGGTAAGTATCCCTGGCTTGGGGCATGAGTGATTCTGGGATGTAGGCTGGGGCAGGGGACTCAGGTCCAATAGACTTAAGACATCAGAGAGTCCCTGACAGCTCAAGGAGCCCCCAAAGCCAGGAGGATCTTAAAGGGGTCAGTGGAGGTCCTGAGGGATTAGCGATTTCCTGATGAGTTGGGAGTATCTGAAAGGGGCCCGTGGTCTGGAGAAGTGAGTAAACCTCTGAAGGACCCAGTGGCTATCTCCAAAGGGTCAGGGGTCCCTGAGGGGATCAGGGTGCTTCTAGCCATTGTGGAATCCCTAATGGGGGATCTGTTGCTATGGGGGAGCCCTCAGGACCCCATTGCCTTCCCCAGGTGGGCTTCCCCATCCCCGGGGGATGGTTCCTGAGCGGCTGCCCCCATGGCTTCAGCGCTACGTGGACAAAGTGTCTGACCTCAGCCTCTTTGGAGGCCTCCCAGCTAACCATGTCCTTGTGAACCAGTATCTGCCTGGGGAGGGCATCATGGTAACCACACACCCTCGGCCCGTGTCCCCCCACTCAGACTTCTGAGCCATGCTGGGGCAGAGGACCCTGTACCCACCCTCATTCATTAGGCAGCCACATCTCCCAAGCAGGCATTCACCTGCCTGTCCCTGGCTTGGGAGGGACAAGCCCTCGTGGGGCTTGGGAGCCCCGCTTTGACCCAGAGGGTGGGGGTTGTGGACTCCTGCCCTGCCAGCCCTGGTGCCCACTCCCCAGCCCCACGAGGACGGACCATTATACTACCCGACTGTCAGCACCATCAGCCTGGGCTCCCACACTGTGCTGGACTTCTACGAGCCGCGGCGGCCGGAGGATGATGACCCTACAGAAGAGGTGGGCCCCCAGACACTGCCCCAACCTCTTGTAGGCACTTCAAGAACTAAATTCCAAGATGACCTGGTCCCACGTGCCTTTGGGGTACTCCTGGCACTCTCCCAGATACCTTCCCTTGTACCCTCATGGGGTGTACCCACTTCCTCCCAGACACCCAGCCCATCTGCTTACAGGGTGCCCCACGTGCCATGATTTCCACAGGCTCCCCGATGCCCCCACCTGCTGAGTGGATGCCCCTGACTCCCTAGCAGACACTGATATCCTCAGATACCCCACCGCCATTAACTCAGGGGGGCCTCACCTCCTCCCAGATGCCCTATCTGCCCCTGCTTAGGGTGCCCCAGATGTCCTGCTACTGTAGGAATGTGATTTGGGGTGCAGGACACCCCCAGATTCTCCTTGGCCCCTGACACATGATTTCTCTGAGTGATGCATTTCTAGCACCCCAGTGTTCACAGAAACGCCCCTGAACACCCTGACCCACTCCTTCTTGGGGCTTGCCTTCGAGCCCTGCATGCTCCTGGATGCTCTGATACTCCCTCAGCTGTGCAGTTGTCCTCTCATGTCCTGATATCCTTGGGGACCCCCACTGCCTCTAACCTCTGCCTCACTCTGTCCTCACCTGGTCCTGGCTTCAGCCATGCTCTCTCAGCCCAGCTCTGCCTGCATTTCCTGGGGACTGCTGATTCCTGGGTCCCAGCCCCAGCCCCAGCCCCTTGGAGATCCCAGCTGCAGCTCCCACTGTCCGCTGACCCTTTGACGCCCCCATCTGCCGCCTAGATCCTGCCCCCTCCCGAGGGACTGCAGAGCCCTCGCCCTCCCTTCCTGGCAGCACCAGCCCAGGCCCCAGCAATTTTCACTCCTGAACCACCAAAGCCTCCATCATTGTGAGCGCACTTGCTCTTCAGCCTTTGCTGGGGACTCGCTGACCCCCGGAACCTGCCGACCTCTCGCCCACCCCCCCGACTTCTTGAGCCCCGCTGACCCTCAACCCACTCTGCAGCCTCGGCCTCCGCCCCGGCCCACCACCTCGCTACTGCTGGAACCGCGCAGCCTGCTGGTGCTCCGCGGCCCCGCCTACACGCGCCTCCTCCATGGCATCGCCGCCGCCCGCGTAGACGCGCTGGACGCCGCCTCCCCGCCGCTCAATGCGGCCGCCTGCCCGTCGGCGCGGCCTGGAGCCTGCCTGGTGCGCGGCACCCGGGTCTCGCTGACCATCCGCCGCGTGCCCCGCGTGCTGCGCGCCGGCCTTCTGCTGGGCAAGTGACCGCCAGGGCCGGGACCCCTCGGATTCCCGGGTTCCTGCCCTCTTGGGGCTGCTGTGACTCTGCGACCTTGGCACCGTGGGCAGAGGGGGCTCCACTGGTTTATTTATTTTCCCAATAATTTTGTGTGAGCTACAGAAGGCCCCATACCAAATAAACAAAAAATCTTTCCTTGGTCTTAGATTTTTATTTTTTAGGGAGCCAGATGCTTGGGTTCCTGAGGGGCGCGGCATCCAGGGTCTTAAACGAATGGGGTAGGCCCCGGAGGTCAGATGTCTGGGTCCCCAGTGGGGCAGAATCCATGGCTCTTGAGGAGGTGGGGAAAGGGTTCTATCTGGAACCCTCTTGGATGGCCTGGAGTGATGCTGGGAGATTTAGCTACTGGCCTGCTAGGGAGGAAGGAGTTAAGTGGCTCTTCTGTCACCTGAGCTGGGCATCAAATGGCCGGGTCCAGGTTCCTCTTGGAAGGGGCGGAGCCAGACCTGTCCTGGGCCTCTCCTGCAGCCTCAGGCCGCGATGACTACAGCGTAGGAGCTCTGGGACACCCTTGTCTAGGGAAGAGGTCTTACTGGCTGCCCTCACCTGACTTTGTGTCCCCAGGCCCCCAGCCATGGCCCTGTCCCTGCCTCTGGGCCCTAGATTTGGCTCAGAGCCCCTCAACCACCCCCCGGGAGCACCTAGGGAGCGGGACATTGTTGGATGCACTGTCTGCCCCACATCCGGAGAGGAGAGGACGAGGTGGGGACCTGGGCTTTGGAAGCTTGTTCCCAAGAGGGTAGGCGTGGTGGCAGGGGCCATATGAGGGTAGGAGGTGCCATGGCTGTGATCGCCTGGGGACACAGGAGAGGCCGCCGGGGTTGGGGTGAGGGTAGGCTGAAAAGTGAGGTGTCCAGACTCACCCAGTCACCGCCCCCTGCCTCCTAGCCCAGAGCAGGCCCAGACCCTGAGGCAGGACTCCTTGGACCCTCCTGAGCACTTCCAGGGTGGGCCAAGGGGCAATGAGCCTGCTGCTCAGCCCCCAAGATGGTCAACACCCTCTTCCTACGAGGACCCTGCCGGGGGCAAACACTGTGAGGTGAGCTGAGGTGACCCAGACCCCTTATGCCAGCCCTACCTCCTCTCTGTCCCTCGGAGTCTGGCCTCCACAGTGAGGACTGGGTGATGATTCTGGAAAGGTGTTGGGTGTCTGTAGGGGGAGGGACCCTCTGGAAAAGTGTTTCAATATCTGACCAACTGGTGAGATGTATTTCTTTTTTTTTTTTCAATCTTTTTTGAGATGGAGTCTCTCTGTCGCCTAGGCTGGAATGCAGTGGTGAGATCCCTGCTCACTGCAACCTCCGCCTCCCAGGTCCCACTGATTCTCCTGCCTCAGCCACCCAAGTAGCTGGGATTACAGGCGCATGCCACCGCACCTGGCTAATTTTTTGTATTTTTAGTAGAGATGGGGTTTCAACTTATTGGCCAGGCTAGTCTCAAACTCCTGACCTCAGGTGATCTGCCCGCCTCAGCCTCCCAAAGTGCTGGGATTACAGGCATGAGCCATTGTGCCCAGTCATATTCCTTTTTTATTTAAAAAAAAAAAAAATAGAGACAGTGTCTCACCATGTTGCCCAGGCTGGTCTTGAACTCCTGATCCTCCAGCCTTGGCCTCCCAAAGTGCTTGGGTTATAGGTGTGAACCACTGCGCCTGGCTGAGAAGCATTTCATCATTGCACCTGATGTAGCCCCATTCTTCTGAGAATGGGAACCCCAGGGGGTACCCAGCCCCATTCCCTGTCCAGAACCCCTGGGCCTCACACATCCAAGTTTCCAGGAGCTATGAAAACCTGGAGACCTTGAACTAGATGTCTCTCCTCAGGCCTGGCTCCACTGGGAAGGCCCCCCAGTGGAAGCGACCCTGGTGCAGACAGACCCGGAGATGGACTGTGCCGCAGAGAAGTTTCCAGAAGCTTACAGAAGGGGGTGGGGATGGGAGCAGGGGTGATATCTTGATTGGCCCACTGGCCCTGACCTGGCTCCTGTGTTCCCCAGCACCCCATCTCTGGCCTGGAGGTACTAGAGGCTGAGCAGGACAGCCTGCACCTGTGCCTGCTGGGGCTGGGCCGCCGGCTGCAGGACCTGGAGCAAGGCCCGGGGCGCTGGGCATTGGCCCAGAGTGGGATGGTGCAGCTGCAGGTAGGCAGGAGAGGCCAGGATGTGGGGGTGTGCAGGGCCCAGCAGTGGGTGCCAGCTTTCCGGGATGGGAAATGGGTTGAGTGCATGTTCCAGGCCTGTGGGGAGGGGGTAACTCTAGGTTTTGGGTCTCTGGTGTGTGTGTGGGGTGATGTCCAACCATGTGTCCTCAGGCCCTCCAGGCGGACCTACGAGGGGCAGCTGAGCGCGTGGAGGCGCTGCTAGCGTTTGGTGAGGGGCTGGCACAGCGGAGTGAGCCCAGGGCCTGGGCAGCCCTGGAGCAGATCTTGCGGGCCCTGGGAGCTTACCGAGACTCCATCTTCCGGCGGCTCTGGCAGCTGCAGGCCCAGCTGGTCAGCTACAGCCCGGTAGGGCCCATCCTGATACCCCTCACCCAAACCAGGCCCCAACCTCATAGCCTCCATGACCTCTGTCCTTTGACCCAGGTGTTCGAGGAGGCCAACGCGCTGGACCAGGACTTGGAATTCGAGGGAGACTTGGACTGGCCAGCATCTGGTGGGGTCTGGGGGCCCTGGGCACCCAGTAGCCTCCCCACTTCCGCAGAGTTGGAGTGGGATCCGGCGGGGGACATTGGGGGTCTTGGGCCCTTGGGACAAAAGACAGCCTGGACACTAGGAGTGCCCTGTGAGCTGTGTGGCCACAGGGGCCCCCAGGGCAGGGGACAAGGCCTCGAGGTGAGAGCAGACCCCCTCGACGGACCTCCTGCCAGGCACCCTGGGGACATCTCTGTGCACCTTCTAGCAGGGTTCTGCCCTTCCAAGGAGGTGTGACTCTGTCTCTCCCTCTATCTCTGTCTCGATCAGTGTCTCCTTCTATCTCACTGTTTCGCTCTCTCTTGTCTGTCTCTGTCTACATCCTCAAGCCCAATCTCAAATTCACTCCTGAGGCCACCAGATGATGCCCCGTTCACCTCCTGACTGTCCCAGTCTCTCCTGGTGCCGCCTCTTCAAGGAGGCCTGCCCTCACCTCCAAACATGAGCACTCCTAGTTTCTTACTTTATTTCCTAACAGCACTCACCACAGCTTGACTTTGTATATTTACTTATTTTTTAAAATTTTTATTTATTTTTTGAGACAGAGTCTCACTCTGTCACCCAGGCTGGAGTATAGTGGTGTGATCTTGGCTTGCTGCAACCTCTGCTTCCCAGGTTCAAGTGATTCTCCTACCTCGGCCTCCCTAGTAGCTGGGATTACAGGTGTGCACCACCATTCCTGGCTAATTTTTGTATTTTTAGTAGAGATGGGGTTTCATCATGTTGGCCAGGCTGGTCTTGAACTCCTGACCTCAGGTGATCCGCCCGCCTCGGCCTCCCAAAGTGCTGGGATTACAGGCATGAACCACGGCACCAGGGCTCAGTTACTTATTAATTTTTTTTTTTTTTTTTTTTTTTTTTTTTTGAGACAGAGTCTCACTCTTTCGCCCAGGCTGGAGTGCAGTGGCCGGATCTCGGCTCACTGCAAGCTCCGTCTCCCGGGTTTATGCCACTCTCCTGCCTCAGCCTCCCAAGTAGCTGGGACTACAGATGCCCGTCACCCCACCCGGCTAGTTTTTTGTATTTTTTAGTAGAGACAGGGTTTCACCGTGTTAGCCAGGATGGTCTCGATCTCCTGACCTTATGGTCCGCCCGTCTTGGCCTCCCAAAGTGCTGGGATTACAGGCTTGAGTCACTGCACCTGGCCTACTTATTAATTTATGGTCTGTCTCTCTCCTGTCAAATATAAGCTCCACGGAGGCCAGGAATTTGCCTATTTCCATCCCCACTGTGTCCTCAGCTCCTAGAACAGTTCCTGGCTTGTAATAGAAACTCATTACATATTTATTGAATGAATGAATAAATAATGCCTCTCCTCTCTTGGTTTCTTTGGCTCTGCCCATGTCTGTCTGTCCCGTGAGATCTCTCTGTTCCCCCTGAATCTCATCTCTATGACACCTCCTATCCTGGCCCTCCCCCAACCACGTTTCTCTTTGTTGCTGGTTCTCCAGGAACCACACACCTCTCACTCCCAACAGGATATGCTGGAGTCTGGCCTCAGCTACCGGAAACACTTAGCAAGTCACCAAAGACGCTCCCTGCTCCGGAAGCCTCAGGTGAGCCAGTTCTCAAACAGGTGTAGCACTCAGGAATCTTGATGGCGAGTGACAGAAACCCAAGAAATCAAAAGGCACAAAAAAGGGAACTCTATTAAAAAAAAAAAAAAAGTAACGGAAAGGTCTAGGCACTGTTCAATTCAGAGCCTGAAATAACACCAGGGCCAGGCTGAGCGCAGTGGCTCACGCTTGTAATTCCAGCACTTTGGGAGGCCGAGGCGGGTGAATCACCTGAGGTCTGGAGTTCGAGACCAGCCTGGCCAACGTGGTGAAACCCCGTGTCTACTAAACTATAAAAATTAGCCGAGCGTGATGGCACATGCCTGTAATCCCAGCTACTGGGGAGGCTGAGGCAGGAGAATCACTTGAGCCCAGGAGGCAGAGGTTGTGGTGAGCTGAGATCACACCACTGCACTCCAGTCTGGGTGACATAATGAGACCTTATTTCAAAAAAATAAATAAATAAATAAATAAAAATTAAAAAAAGAAATAACTCCAAGGCTCAGTCCCTCCCTTTCTTGGGCTCTAAGTCCCCAAGGTGGCTTCCTTCTCAGCAAAATGGGTGCGCCAGTGGCTACACGGTCACTCCCACTGGTTTACCCACCCCAGGGGAGAGAGCGTGCCTCTGACCCTACTGACAGCTACCAAAGTCCCAGGGCTGACTCCCACTCACCGGCTAAGGTCATGGGCTGCACCTTGAATAAACCAGAGTGCTCGGATTGGCCAGGTCTGGGTCACACCAATCATGGAAGTTGGGCAGGTGGGTGTCAGCTTCACCTGAACCTGAAGGTCTGGGAGTGGAAGGCGTGACAGCCTCCCACCTCCAATTGAGACACTGTTACCAGAAAAAGAGGGATTGTACTGGATGAAGGACAGACACAACCAGACATCCACTACACTTGGAGATATTCCAAGTCCATGTGGGGTCTTGGGGATGAGGAGGTGCCAGGAAAGGAGAAATAAGACCAGCCCCGTAGGTCTACAGTAGTAGGGTAAAGGCGACACGAAGTGTCACTTCTGGTTGGGCACTGTGGCTCACACCTGTGATCCCAACACTTTGGGAGGTCAAGGCAGGAGGACTGCTTGAGGCCACATAGGGAGAACCGCCCCCTCCCCTCATCTCTACAAATCATTAAACAAAAGTAAATGGTTGTAGTGGCATGTGCCTGTGGTCCCAGCTATCAGGGAGGCTGAGGTAAGAGGATCACCTGAGCCCAGGAGGCTGGGGCTGCCATGAGTTGTGATTGTGAAACCGCACTCCAGCCTGGGTGACTGAGCGAGACACTGTCTCAAAAAATAATGTGTTAGCCAGGCGTGGTGGTTCACGCCTGTAATCCTAGCACTTTGGGAGGCCGAGGCAGGCAGATCACTTGAGGTCAGGAGTTTGAGACCAGCCTGGCCAACATGGTGAAACCCCATCTCTACTAAAAATACAAAAATGAGCCGGGAGTGGTGCCACCTGTAGTCCCAGCTACTCGGGAGGCTGAGGCAGGAGAATCACTTGAACCCAGGAGGCGGAGGTTGCAGTGAGCTGAGATTGAGCCATTGAACTCCAGCGTGGGTGACAAGAGACTCCGTCTCAAAATAAATAAATAAAGTGTCATTTCTATCCACTCTGCTGCTGGCTGCTCTCCCTCCTTAGGACAAGAAGAGGCAAGCATCTCCCCATCTCCAGGACGTGAGGCTGAAGGGGAATCCTGGGTGAGGTGCCCGAGAGATGGGACTAGGGTGTGGGGGACAGAGCTCCTAGCGGCAGCCCACCTGTATGTTTAACACTGCATTTCCCTTCACAGGGCCCCCGATCCTGCATCCAGGTGGCCCCTGACCTTCCTGCTTATCCTCTTCCTCCTCTTCCTCCTCCTGGTGGGTGCCACGTTTCTCCTGCCCGTGTCAGGAGACCCCTGCTGCTCTAACGCCCGAAAACCCAGGACACCCTACCTGGTGCTCAGCTATGTCAATGGTCTTCCCCCAGTCTGATGTGTGTAATAAATGGTCACTGTCAAAGGATGTGTGAAGATACTAGGTGCCTGTGTACCTGGAATCTAGGATGTGGCCTGGATATGTCTGGATGGACCCTTTTGCCTTGAGGACAGAACACACAGAACTGCATCAGCCCATCTTGGGTGGGGCTGCTCCAGACTCTGACACAGTCAAGCACCAGTTCTTTATTCAGGCGTGGCAGGGGACTCTGGACGTGAGCTCAGGAAGGGAGAAAGCCAATACTGGGTGAGTTACTAGTTGCTGCTCTGGGCACCTGGGGTGTCATCCCATTGCTGGTTGCACCCTAGGGACAAAGAAGTTGTGGCTTTTTTTTTTTTTTTGAGATAAGAGTCTCACTCTTGCCTAGGCTGGAGTGCAATGGTACAATCTCAGTTCACTGCAAACTCCGCCACCAGGATTCAAGCGATTCTCCTGCCTTAGACTCCAGAGTAGCTGGGATTATAGGCATGTGCCACCACGTCAGGCTAGTTTTTTTTTTTTTTTTTTTTTTGAGACAGGGTCTCGCTCTGTCACCCAGACTTGAGTGCAGAGGCATGATATCGGCTCACTGCAACTTCTGCCTCCTGGGTTTAAGAGATTCTCTGGCCTCAGCCTCCCAAGTAGCTGGTACTACAGGCATGTGCCACCACACCTGGCTAATGTTTGTATTTTTACAAATCCTTTGAACCTGGGAGGCGGAGCTTGCAGTGAGCTGAAATCGTGTCACTGCACTCCAGCCTGGGTGACAGAGCAAGACTCCATCTCAAAATAAATAAATTTAAAAAAAATAAAAAAAAAAAAAAAAGGCCGGGCACGGTGGCTCAAGCCTGTAATCCCAGCACTTTGGGAGGCCGAGACGGGTGGATCACGAGGTCAGGAGATCGAGACCATCCTGGCTAACGCGGTGAAACCCCGTCTCTACTAAAAAAAAATACAAAAAACTAGCCGGGTGAGGTGGCGGGCGCCTGTAGTCCCAGCTACTCGGGAGGCTGAGGCAGGAGAATGGCGTGAACCCGGGAGGCGGAGCTTGCAGTGAGCTGAGATCCGGCCACCGCTTGAGCCCAGGAGTTTGAGACAAGACTGGGCAACACAGGGAGACTCGTCTCCACGAAAAATAAAAATAAGTTGGCCGGGCGCGGTGGCTCAAGCCTGTAATCCCAGCACTTTGGGAGGCCGAGACGGGCGGATCACGAGGTCAGGAGATCCAGACCATCCTGGCGAACACGGTGAAACCCCGTCTCTACTAAAAATACAAAAAATTAGCCGGGCGAGGTGGCGGGTGCCTGTAGTCCCAGCTACTCGGGAGGCTGAGGCAGGAGAATGGCGTGAACCCGGGAGGCGGAGCTTGCAGTGAGCTGAGATCCGGCCACTGCACTCCAGCCTGGGAGACAGCGAGACTCCCTCTCAAAAAAAAAAAAGAACCATCTCAAGTTAGTATAAGTTTTAGGTTTCTTTTTATGCTAAGAGAAGGGTGTTGAGGTTAGGTGACCAATGACTGTAGACATCTGGATGCCAGCAAGAGTCCAGAAGAAAATTTCTTTGACTATGTAGGTCAGGTCACAATATTCTTGTAAATCTCTAGTATAACATTGTTACTTGTGTGTACAGTTTCCTGATCTCCTGTTGGCGTGGTTGGTTTTGGGAAAGGGACTGTTATTTTTTCTAAAGTTGAGCTATAAACTAAATTCCTCCTATAATTAACTGGTCTACACGCAAAGCTAAGCAGAAGCTTTTAACCTAAAGGATGTTACTGCAGGGCGTCAGAGGCAAAATGGAGTCAGTCATGCTAAGCCTCCCTCCACTGTGACACACACACCCCATCAATTTAGCAGCCAACAGTAGAGTCACTGTCCTTCTGTAGTTCCAACCAAAGTCCCAAGGCTGGCTCCTCTGGCTTCTGTCACATGCTCCACCTTTGCTGGGGGCTGCAGTCAGCCCCACCTAAACCATGTGGACTGAAAATGGCAGAAGGGTGGGTCTCCAAAGAGTATGAAGTTGTTGCTACTAGAAGAGGGGAACAGACATTGATGGGGTGGGGGAAGCTGCAGATTCTGGGAGAGACTCCAGGTTCAGGAAAAAGCCACAATGCAAACCAGATTTGTCCTGTTTCAAAGGCCAGGTTGAGACTCTGGCATCAACCAAAGAGGAGGCATGGTCCCCCTGAGATCACCAGCAAATAGGGGGAGCAGTCTTGGCAATATTGACCCAACAGGCCCGGTAATGGAGCACATCTGTGTCATTCGTTCATTTAACAAATATTAACTGTCTGCTATGAGTCAGGTCCTGGTCAAGGAGCAGAGACAAGACAGTGAACAAGACGGTGCCTCTGGTGCCTCTGGAGCTAGCTGACATTCTACATGGGGAAATTGACAATAACTAAAAGAAATAAGTGAAATACGTAGTGGTCACAGGGTGGTAAGTGCTGAGGAGAAAAATAAAGTGAGCAAGAGGAAGGGGGCACAACTGAAACAGTGTGGTTGAAGAAGTCATCAGGGAGTCCATAGAATGGAGCCACTATGTTAAAATTTCGCCATGAGAGCAGACTGTAGTGAGGAAACAGGCCATGGGGACTCAGAATAGTGCTGTCCAATAGAAATTGAATGTGAGGCTGGGCATGGTGGCTCACGCCTGTAGTCCCAACACTTTGGGAGGCCAAGGCAGGCGGATCACTTGAGGTCAGGAGTTCAAGACCAGCCTGGTCAACATGAAGAAACCCCGTCTCTACTAAAGATACAAAAATTAGCCGGGCATGGTGGCAGGTGCCTGTAATCCCAGCTACTCGGGAGGCTGAGGCAGGAGAATCACTTGAACCCAGGAGGCGGAAGTTGCAGTGAGCCAAGATCACGCCACTACACTCCAGCCTGGGCGACAGAATGAGACTCTGTCTCAAAAAAAAAAAAAAAGAAAAAGAAGAATAGAATGTGAGCCACAAATGTAGTTACAAATTTTCTACCAGTCACATTAACACAGTAAAAATGGATTAACTTTAATAATTTATATTCTATTTAACCTGTCTAAAATATTATCACTTCAATATGTAGTCAATAGAAAAATAATGAGATCTTTTACAATCTGTTTTTCTTACTAAGTCTGTGAAATCTAGTGTGTATTTCACACTTACAGCACATCTTAATTCAGACGCCAAATTTTTAACAGATAAAATGCAATACAGTCCTCCTAAAACAATGAAGTCGTGTAACAAAAAATATTTTACATTCAAAATACTTTCACATTACATTTACATTTAAATTACTTCAATTTTAAAATTTAGGCCGAGCATGACAGCTCAAGCCCTACGTTGCCCAGGCTGGTCTCGAACTCCCAGGCTTAAGTGATCGGCCCACCTCAGCCTCCCCAAGTGCTGGGAAACCTTTTAAAACTAGAACAAACTGCCATATGCCCTTACCCAGATTCACCAGTGGTTAACACTTTGCTTCATGTGATTTACCATCCATACCCTTGCTAATATATTTATATCAGTGCATATGTTTTGGAACCATTTGAGAGTAAGTTGCAGACACGAGGCCTTTTTACTCCTACATTCTTCAGCGTGTATGTCTTAAGAACAAGGCCATTCTCTCACACAATTATAGTAGTTATCAAAATCAGAAAACTGAACAACTCAGTTCTATTTTTAACTCAATCTGTAGTCTAAATGACTCTAATCCCTGTATGTCTTTTATAGCGATTTTCTTAGATCAGGGGATTTCTTGTTTAACAGATGGGTCAAGGGATTGAGAAACATTGACCCTGCGCCTTAGCAGAGTAAAAAACAGAACAGCAGCCCACGGCTGCTTCACGCATATAATCCCAGTACTCTGGGAGGCCGGGACGGGCGGATCACTTCAAGAGTTCGAGATCAGCCTGGCCAACATGGTGAAACCCCATGTCTACTAAAAATACAAAAAAAAAAAAAAAAAAAAAAAGCCGGGTATGGTGGCGGGTGCCTATAATCCCAGCTACTCACCGGGGGCGGGTGGGGGGCAGGTGCGCAGGAGGAGTGCTTGAACCTGGGAGGCGGAAGTTGCAGTGAGCTAAGATTGCGCCACTGCAGTCCAACCTGGGCAACAGAGTGAGACTTTGTCTCAAAAAAACAAACAAAAAAACAGAGCAGCAGACACACACAGAGGATCAGCAGAGAACTGGGCACTGGTCCATGCTTGACACATAAGCATCCTCGGAGCCAAGGACTCGGGTGATGGTTTATCTGGGATGTGATCCCAGGAAGCGCAAGTGGGGAAGAGACAGGGCAGGGGGAAAGCCAAAAACGGTGCTCACACCACTGTGAGCAACTGGGGATCCAATCCATGGGGTACCCCTGAGGAACCCTGCAGAACACATGTTCCACCAGAGGACAGGCGCTCATCCAGTGACCGCTGCCCCCTACAGGCTGAGGGTTGCCTCTGAGGACATTAACCCACCTCCCAGGACTCTCAGGAAGCCCTCAGGCAGAGCAACAGAGATGCAGGGGCTCAGGGAAGGAGGCTGCAACCTCCTGAGAACCTGCTTCTGCAGCCGCAAGTGAACCCAAGAGGGCAGGAGGGCCATGGGTGGGGGTCAGGCCTCATCATCTGCTGTCACAACAGGGTTTTTTGGGGTTTTTTTTTTGAGATAGAGTCTCACTCTCGTCAGGCCTCATCATCTGTTATCACAACAGGGTTTTTTGGGGATTTTCTTTGAGATAGAGTCTCACTCTCGTTGCCCAGACTGGCGTGGTGGTGCATGCCTGTAATCCCAGCTACTCAGGAGGTGGAGGCAGGAGAATTGCTTGAACCTGCGAGGCAGAGGTTGCAGTGAGCAGAGATCGCACCATTGCACTTCAGCCTGGGCAACAAGAGTGAAACTCTGTCTCAAAAATAAATAAAATAAAATAAAATAAAGAATAAAAATATTAGCTGGGTGTGGTGGTACACGCCTGTAGTCTCAGCTACTCAGAAGGCTGAGATGGGAGGATCACTTGAGCCTGGGAAGCTTAGGCTGCAGTGAGCTGTGCCACTGTACTCCACCCTGGGTGACACAGACCCTGTCTAAAAAAAAAAAAGGAAGTTAGATCACTCACCTGTGATCACATAATCAGTAAGTATGGGAGCTGGGATTCAAACCCTGCCTTCCCATTCCCAGGTCCGTGCTCTTAGCCATTGCTCACCTGTACAGCTCCTCCCTCAAATCAGGCATTCCTCCATCCTCTCCACCGGGTAAATCTCACTCATCTGTAACACCCAGGTTAATGTGTCTTCCCTTCCGACCCAGGATGCCCGGCCCCACTGGAAACTTGATCCCTGCCTGCAGCCCTGCCCGGAGCTCCAATCCTGGGGCTCGTCAGGGCTCAAGATCATGGAGCCAGGAGTGAGGGGGTGGCAGGAGATGCAGCTGGAGATGTAATTGGGGGGATGGATGGGTAGGACCCCATTGGTCTTTGGCTTTTACTTTGAGATGGAGCCAGGAAACGATTAACATGATCACCCTGATGCAAGAAATTGAGGCTGAGAGAGATGAATGAGGTGGCTGAGGTCCCATGGTGAGGACAAACCTGAGACAAAGCTGAAGTAGAAGCCACGAGCAAGTAAACCCACAGCCTTGTGCCTGGGGCACGCCAGGCCCCAGCTGAGACCCTGCATTTCTTCCTTTTGCCCCCTCCAGGCCTTTCCCCACACTGGTCTTCTTCTTTTTTTTTTTTTGAGACGTAGTCTCACTCTGTCGCCCAGGCTGGAGTGCAATGGTGTGATCTTGGCTCATTGCAACCTGTACCTCCAGGGTTCAAGCGATTCTCCTGCCTTAGCCTCCTGAGTAGCTGGGATTACTGGTGCCCACTACCACGCCTGGCTAATTTTTGTATTTTTAGTAGAGACGGGGTTTCACCATATTGGCCAGGCTGGTCATGAACTCCTGACCTTGCGATCTGCCCACCTTGGCCTCCAAAAGTGCTGGGATTACAGGCATGAGCCACCGCACCCAGCCTTGGTCTTCGTGCCTAGAAGCCTATCCTGGCAATTAATTCTTCAAATTCCAATTCTACTTTATAACCATTTGGGCATGTGGCTCCCCCACTAGGATTAGGGCAGCGACTTCCATCCATCCTCCCTTTGGTCTGAGGTCTATGCTCCTTACCTATGGTCCTCCTCCCCACAGCTACATCCACAAGAACTCATTTCCACTTACTTAACTGACATGGGTGCAAATACAGCTCAGTGATGCAAACTGCATCCCTCCACAGAATGTCTAGGGCAGGCCCATATGGGGACACAGGAGGAAGTATACCTGTGATCTATGGGGTTCATCTCCCCTCCCCTGCCCCAGGCCTTGTCGTTCATTGTAGCTGAGGCTGGACCCTTCAGCTGGGTTTGAGAAATTTCCAGGTCTGAGACCCCCACTACTGCCTCAGAGGCTTTGAGCCAGTTCTCAGCTCCACCATTTCCTGTCCCACACAAAGATGTTAAATAACTTGCCCTCCATTAGGGAGCCAACTGGGGTATCTTTGGGGGTTAAGCCAGGATGAACCCCCTCCACAAATCTGCCAGGGGAGAGAACTATGCTGCTTCAATCAATGTGCCAGTCTAGAGGACTCCGGAGGGAGTCAGATCCCCACACCTATCACCTCCCAGATGGTCCCTTCCAGGTGTCTGTGTGTGTGTGCGGTGGTGGTGGGGGGGGTGTTTCAAAAATCCTCAAATATATAAAAGCTTTAAGACCACCAACAGGAAAGTAGACATATCCCCAATTTTATTCCCTTTGTCCAACATTCTGACAGGGAAAGGGCAAATGAGTCAACGTTGCCCCTCAAAACCATCAAGTAGGGCCCTTTAGTTGATCAACCAGGGTGATAGACCGCTAGCCCCTTCCTCGTGGTCCTGGCTTGTCACAATTAATGGGGAAAGTTTTCCCAAAGGGGATTCCGGGCTTCTCACCGCTTGATCAGGGAACCTTCCCAATACTTTCTCAGCAAAAAGTCTGCACTTCTCAGAGTTAAATACAGGAGAGGGGAGACTCCTTGAGGAGCCAGAGGTGGGTGTGTTCTCAGGGGTCAAGAGAAGGGTGTCTCAGGCTCTCCCTGTCCAGCAGGGGGCGTCCTGGCTCCCCGTACCTTCGGGCAAGTAGCTCTCGGCTTGACACTGTCCAGCCCGCCGGCGTCCCAGGCCGCCCCAAGCCCTCATGGGGGAGGAGCGCCGACCTGTCTCCAAGCATCGGAAAAGGTGGGCCTCTCTTGCCGTCCATCATGAGGCTCTCTAGGCCCCCTGCGTCGCCAAGGGGCAGTCTCTGACATCCCCAATTCGTCGAGCTAGTCTCTCGAGATCTCTCACCTTAGGCGGGTTCCCCAGGCCCCCCACGCAGTCAGGCGAGCCTCCTGGCTCCACCACGCCATCGAGCGAGTTCGGCTCTTCGCCAGTCACCGTCCGTCGGGCCGGGTCTCCGGTGCCCCCGTGCTGTCGTGGGGGTTCCTTGGACCGTCGCCGTCGTCAGGCTGGGAACCCACGCCGCCAGGCTCCTCGGTCGGGGCCCGCAGGCGTACGAAGGCGCCCATGGCGGTGGCGTGGCCCGAGCGTAGCAGCTGCAGCTGGCGCCGCCCGCGGCGGTACAGGTACTCTATGCGCAGCACGTCGGAGCGCGGCAGGCCCGCGTGCTGCCGGAACTCGGCCCGCACTCGCGCCTCGGCGCCCGGTTTCCCGCGTCCGGCACGCAGCAGATCGCGGTACAGGCTCAGAACCTGCCTCTGCAGCCGGCTGTGCCGGCTCATGACCGCGGCTAGGCAGAGACGCTCAGCGAACTCCCTGCTAACCGCCGAGCCGCCACACAGCGAGCAAAGGTCAACGGGCAAAGCCACAGCCACTTCCGCCCTGCGCTTCCCTTAGCCCCCAACTCCCGCCTCCCGCCATCCGGCGCTGCCGCGTCTAATTGGCTGTCGTTGCTGTTGCACCACATCGGGCTGGGAGAAGTGGGCGGAGTCTCTGGTCGCGGCCTCCCCTATAGGGAACACGTGTTCTTGAAGGGACAGCAGTTCTGGGGATCCTGGCACCTGCGACTCGTAGGAGGAGGTCGCTATGTGTTCGGATTCCTAGGTCTTGGGTCGGAGGGAACAGAGGGTCCTGACCTAACTCCTGCGTTCTGGGAGAAGAGGAAGCTAGGGTTTGTTTTTGTTTTTGTTTGTTTTTTTGTGATGGGGTCTCTGTCTGTCGCCCAGGCTGGAGTGCAGTGGCGCGATCTTGGCTCACTGCAGCCTCGAACTCCTGGGCCCAAGCGATCCTCCCACCTCAACTTCCCGAGTAGCTGGAACCACAGGTGCGCGAAACTGCGCCCCCTATTTTATTATTATTATTATTATTTGCAGAGATGGGGTCTCGCTATGTTGCCCAGGATGGCCTCGAACTCCTGGGCTCAAACGATTCTCAGCCTCCCAAAGTGTTGGGATTCCAGGCGTGAGCCACCGCGGCCTGCTATGGGTTCGGACTTTGGGTCCCAACGGCACGGGGCACTGGGAGAGACACTGGGCACAAGCGTGCTCTTGCCGTCAGTTACTGATTGAAACCATCTCGGGAAGCTCCGTGCGTTCCCTCGTCTGGGGCAGGTCTGTGTCTGGGGTCCCAGCCCTAGGCACGCGCAGAGGGACGAGGCCTCGTAGGGAAATGGCTCTCGGCCGGTTGGACAGGCTTCTCCGTGCTAGGGGAAGACAAGTAGAGGGGGTGTGGGCGCCAAGCCCCCAGAGGCAGCGTGTGGCTCTAGGAGCTGGGTTGGTCGCGCCCTCTGCAGGTGGGAGTCGGGGCACTGGGCAGCGGTGTTTGGGTCCTCACGGACTGTTAAAGCCGGGAGTCCGGGACGCCCTGAACAGTGGACTAGACTGGCAGCCCGTTGTCCTCCCAAGAGCTTCAGGTCGTAGGCCGCAATGCCGTTGTTGTCCCCGCGGGCCGCCTGGAGGCGTCCTCGTAGCGCCAGGGAGGCCGGCAAGGACACAGCATCCTCGGGCCCCAGCAGCACTGGAGCTTGGGGGACCGCTCGGTGACAACCCCAGACCCCTCCACCCAGCGTGCAACTGCGGCTCACACACTTGGGCCGGCAACAAGCTGGGGGTCCGTTCCCCTTCAGAGAGGAGAAGCTGGTCAGGGGCGGGGATTAGGCTTGGAGTTTCAGAGTCAAGGGAGAATCAGAAACCACTGTGAATCCTGCCTGTCGGGTGTATGTGTGTCTATCAAAAATACATGTCCTAGAACAAGCGCGGTGGCTCACACCTGTAATTCCAGCAGTTTCGGAGACTGAGGCGGGCAGACCACCCGAGGTCAGTAGTTCAACACCAGCCTGATCAACATAGTGAAACTTCTGCCTTTAGGTTCAAGTGATTCTCGTACCTCAGCCTCCCCAGTAGCTGGAATTATAGGTGCACACCAGCACATTGGGCTAATTTTTTGTATTTTTAGTAGAGACGGGGTTTCACCATATTGGTGAAACTACAGCCTTGATCTCCTGGGCTCAAGCAATCCTCTCACCTCAACATGTCCAGTAGTTACGATTACATGAACATCCCACCACACCTGGATAATTCTTCTTTTATTGTTTTTTATAGAGACAGAGTCTCACTATGTTGCCCAGGCTTCACTCTGGAATTTTAAATATTTATTTTTTGTTTTGTTTTTAGAGACAGTCTTGCGATGTTGCCCAGATTGGTCTTGAACTCCGGCCTCATCCTCCCTAGTAGCTGGGATAATAGGGATGAGCCACCATGCTGGCTTGTACTCTGGAATTTAAACATCTATGTTTTTCCTGTCAAGTGACCCTTAATCTCCAAGACAACCTGTCAATCAGCCTAGGGGGACTTTCTTTTTTTTTTTTTTTTTTTTTTTGAGACGGAGTCTCGCTCTGCCGCCCAGGCTGGAGTGCAGTGGCCGGATCTCAGCTCACTGCAAGCTCCACCTTCCGGGTTTACGTCATTCTCCTGCCTCAGCCTCCCGAGGAGCTGGGACTACAGGCGCCGGCTGGGTCGCCCGGCTAGTTTTTAGTATTTTTTTAGTAGAGACGGGGTTTCACCATGTTAGCCAGGATGGTCTCGATCTCCTGACCTCGTGATCCGCCCGTCTCGGCCTCCCAAAGTGCTGGGATTACAGGCTTGAGCCACCGCGCCCGGCAATGAGGGACTTTCTTTACCTTCCAGTGGACTCAAGGAGCTGCAAAACCTCAAAGGGAATACTATTGCCTCCTGCCCAGGGCCTGTCAATGGTTTTCTGATTACAGTCTCTCAGTTTGTCTTTGGGGAACTGGCCTACTCTCATTCTAGAGGGTTTCCTAGGTGATATCCCTGCCCTCTGACTCTGGCTCCAGCTCTGGTACATGGCCCAGCCCTGGCTACTTAGAGACAAATCAGAGCATCCCATCCCCTGACCCCTGTAATTGTTTAGGGATGGGCAAATGACCTCCACTGGGACAATGAGCATCAGCCCCGGGACTTCTGTTGAAACTGTCAAGAAAGAAGTGCTGTCTCCCGGCTGGGACTGCTAGACTGTACATCATCAACCTGGAGCGGTGGGAGATCACTCTGCCCGCAGACAGAGAGCTGGTTTGAAAATGAGGCTGTGGCAGTCTCAGATACCCGTTCTCCATTCCTTTCCTAGAAGTAGCATTTTTTTCTTTTTTCTTTTTTTGATATGGAGTCTCGCTCTGTCACCCAGGCTGGAGTGCAGTGGCGTGATCTCTGTTCACTACAACCTCTGCCTCCCAGGTTCAAGTGATTCTCCTGCCTCAGCCTCCTGAGTAGCTGGGACTACAGGGATGTGCCACCACATCCAGCTAATTTTTGTATTTTCAGTAGAGATGAGGTTTCGCCATATTGGCCAGGCTAGTCTAGAACTCCTGACCTCAAGTGATCCGCCCGCTTCAGCCTCCCAAAGTGCTAGGATTATAGGCGTGAGCCACTGTGCCTGGCCTTTTTTCTTTTTCTTTTCTTTTCTTTTCTTTCTTTTTTTGAGATAGGGTCTTGCTCTGTTGCCCAGGCTGGAGTGCAGGGGCATGCTCGTGACTCACTGCAGCCTCAAATTCCCGGGGTCAAGCGATCTTCCCACCTCAGTCACCTAGGACTATAGGCGCTCCACACCATGCCTGGCTAATTTTTGTATTTCTTGTGGAAACAAGATTTCACTATGTTGCCCAGGATGTTCTCAAATTCCTGGGCTCAAGTGATCCTCCCACCTCGGCTTCCCAGAGTGCTGGGATTACAGGCATGAGCCACCACACTTGGCCCAATTAGGATCGTTAGCTGCACACATGGCCACTTAGCTAAAGATACATCTTCCAGCCCCCTTTGCAACCAGATGGGGCCCTTCCATAAAGTTTGGCCACTGGGAAGTGAATGGATGTGATGTGTGCCATTTCTGGGTTTTGTCCTTAAAGGGAGGAGGCGTGGTCTCTTTATCCCCTGTTTTCTCCTTCCAACTTGCAGGAATGTAGCTGTGGTGAGGAACAGATGAGGGCAATACCACAGGGGAGGCAGAGCCACATGACAGATGGAGCCTGTGTTGGAGGAGGCAAGCTGGTTATACTTGGACTGCCTGTCAGAGCTAATTAAGCTTCTATCAAGTTTAAGCCACTGTAGGCTGAGCGTATTGGCTCACGCCTGTAATCCTAGCACATTGGGAGGCTGAAGTGGGAGGATTGCTTGCACCCAGGAGTTCAGGACCAGCCAGGGCAACACAACAAGACCTTTTCTCTACAAAAAAAAAAAAAAAAAAAAAAAAAAAAATTGGCCAGGCATGGTGGCACATAACTGTAGTCCTAGCTACTTGGGAGGCTGAGGTGTCAGGATTGCTTGAGCCCAGGAGGTCAAGGCTGTAGTGGCTATGATCACGCCACTGCATTCCAGCCTGGGTAACAGAGTGAGACCCTGTCTCTGAAAACAAACAAAAAGCTTAAGCCACTGTAATTTTGAGCTTTTGCTCTACCATATGGACCTGGAGCCTAACTACTATAGAAGCTAACACAGAAAAGGGAAAAAGCAAGGATGAAAGATGGAAAGAAACGAAGTTCTTAGCAACATCGTTTGAGTCCTTGAACCAGCCAGACCTGAAGGCCTCATCTTTACCAGTAAGCAAAAGTAGACAAATTCCCTTCTGTATTTAAGACAGCTGGCATCATTTTCTGTCATTTACAACTGAAAATGCTAACTGATATACTGGTGATTCAGGGAACACCTTATGATGAGGTTTTGGAGACTCATCCTCACCTCCCAGGCCTGGAGATCCCTCTCACCAGAAGGTAGCATTGTGGAAGCAGCCACAGTGGTCCTGGGACACACAGTCTGTGCCATCAATGGTGAGGCCACGCTCATAGCCCTCATAGCATCGGGAAGAACAGTGAGTGGGGTTGGCAGGCAGGACACACCCCCAATCATAGGTCTGTGCACAGATGCTATAATGGCCTTGGGGTGGGCAGGTCTGTGCTGCAGGCAGTTGGCAAAGATAAATGCCTAAGGCTCAAATTTCTTTTCTTCTTCTTCCTTTTCCTTTTCCTCTTCGTCGTCTTCTTCCTCTCCCTCTCCCTCTTCCTCGTCTTCATCTTCTTCTTCTTCCTTTCTCCTTCTTCTTCTTTTATTTTTTTTTTTTCCTGAGATGGAGTCTCCCTCTGTCCCCCAGGCTCGAGTGCCGTGGTGTGATCTCCATTCACTGCAACCTCCGCCGCCAGGTTCAAGCAATTCTCTACCCTCAGCCTCTCGAGTAGCTGGGACTACAGGTGTGTGCCACCACACCCAGCTAATTTTTGTATTTTTAGCAAAGACAGGGCTTCACTATGTTGGCCAGGCTGGTCTCAAACTCCTCACCTCAGGTGATCCACCCACCTCAGCCTCCCAAAGTGCTGGGATTACAGGCGTGAGCCACCACACCTGGCC